TATAGTTTAATCCAGGGTATAAATTAATCCAGGGTATAGTTTAATACAGGGTATAAATTAATCCAGGGTATAAATTAATCCAGGGTATAGTTTAATCCAGGGTATAAATTAATCCAGGGTATAATTTAATCCAGGGTATAGTTTAATCCAGGGTATAGTTTAATCCAGGGTATAATTTAATCCAGGGTATAGTTTAATCCAGGGTATAGTTTAATCCTGGGTATAGTTTAATCCAGGGTATAGTTTAATCCAGGGTATAGTTTAATCCTGGGTATAGTTTAATCCAGGGTATAGTTTAATCCAGGGTATAGTTTAATCCAGGGTATAGATTAATCCAGGGTATAGTTTAATCCTGGGTATAGTTTAATCCAGGGTATAGTTTAATCCAGGGTATAGTTTAATCCAGGGTATGGGATTATGGAATGGTCTGGAAGATGATAAAAATGCCAGATCAGTGTTTATATTTAAGAGACAGACAAAAACAAGTTTTTTTGAAGAAACATGAAAAGTAAAATGTGAAGCTATTTGATTTGTTGTTTGAGTTGATGTTTTTATGTTGTTGTTTTTATTTTAATGTATTTTACTTAATTTTTTTTAGTTTTATGTTATTTAGTATGGTTTTGTAAACTATGTTTCATTTGAATATATTCTGGGTCGAAAAGGGGCAGACAAAATAAGATTTATTCTTCTTCTGCTACATTTCATTTTATTTTGATTTGTATATACTTTTTGGTTTTGGTTTATTTTTTGATTATTGTATATAGTATTTTTGATGAAATGAATAAATTTTTGAATTGAATTGATTTGAACCTTTATGCTGAGAGGAAACAGCGCCACCAACAAAGTGCTGCTCACTGGCTGAAGTTCTGAAAGAAACAAGTAAACCCAAAGAAATGTTGGAGGTGATTGATTTTCATAGTAAAATTGATTAAAAGTGAACTGAAGCAATATTATACGGATAAACTTTGCTTATTTTCAGTTCTTTCTTCTAAATTCATCKGTAGAAATGTGTTATTTTAGTGCTGCATGTTTTAATTGTAGAGCTATTTGCTGAACTTTATCACCACCTGTTGGAAAGAAGTAAGAACAGCTTTCCATCCTTTTAAATCAGTTTTCTGCAGGGTGACATGGAGCTGGTGTGTATGTCCAGCAGTCAGGGACACCCTGGACATGTCTCCAGTCCATCACAGACACACAGAAACAAACAGCCGTTCACCCTCACATTAACACCTAGAGACAATTTGAAGTTGTCAGTTATATTTCTCACATCATCGTGTTTACTGCTGCTGCAAAAACACACWAAGTTTGTTTTTTACAGTCAGAGCTTCGCCCTCTTTCTTACCTGTGACTGAAGAACATTTGTTCTGGGAACCAAACACTGCACACATACAGTAAGGCTCATAGTTTTTCCTTGATCTTTACCAGTACATCTGGTTATAAATGCTTTTTGTTGTGGCTGCACTCCATCTCCACAGATTCAGACACATAACTGTGGGGTGCAGTCAAAAAATACCATCAGTATTTTTGTTTTATTTATAAAATAATATATTAATTATAAATTTATAAGAAAAAAAA